CAAATTCCTGACATCAAATCCTTTGGCCATTTATTATCAGGACAGAGACCAAAGAAATATAATGATTTGTTGGAAAGACAGATAACTTTTCAGTTTACAGAGATGGTCTGCATTTGACATTCAACAGTCRATTATGAGTGGACAATTGTAATAATTAACCAGTTATTTAATTTGACGAAGATGTGAATCTTCATTCTTTCCATACAACCCTCCTTCACACATACTTCTGCCTCAAATATCATAATAGCTTTGCTGAGCAATTTTAAAATAAATTGCTAACATAGCTGCTTGTAGTTTTCAATTTGGCRGGTTGGACAAAGCCTCAGAATTAACTGAGGAGAGTGTCGCAATTATTAATTTTTAAATATTCTATGCATTCTTTTCATCTGTTGCATGGTTGATTGGCCAAATGACTGGTGGACAAGTGAATTAATTTGTGACTTCAGAACAGCATAGTTAAAGTCTACAATTTAAATCTCCTAAATATCCAGACTATTTGGAAATAATAACAATGGAGCTATTATTAGATAAGAGGAACTGTGTACATATATGGAGGCAGACATACATGGGAAGTTTCAGGTTATGTTCAACATCTAAAGGAGACCTTGAAATACCCCAGAGTATTGCTGACCTCTACTCTGTATCCTTCTAAAGCTCTCAAATCTGAGATAATGAGTAAAATTCTTGAAATATATAAAAAGTACCACATAAATATCTATTTGTTAAAATATGGCTTTTGTTTAGATTATTTCAATAAGAAAAGTAATGTATTCTTTTCAATGATGAGTCTTTTTAGAATRGGAGATATATTTCATGCATAGACCTCTCCCTGAGCAGTAAGATGAGCGTCAGTTGGACCTATTTCATTGGTAGAATGAGGGGCATAAACTCATTCCAGCCTTATCGMTTTTTAAAAACTGTGAATTGATCAATTGTGGACCTGATGGACAGTAAATTTACTAAAACTATAGTGAAGGTTAACTTAGCATGACTGTGTTTTAGTCCACTGCACTATTTGAATCATTAAATCAGGATAGCATCTTTTTTTTTTTTCCATTTTATGATTGGATGGAATTGGCATGTTGTCATTTTCACATCAATCTGAAGAAGTTTCTGGCTGTCATGACAGAACATCTTAACAACTGAAATGCAGGCAGTCATGCCCTAAAATGTTTCTCTCTGATGTTATTGTATATGGTGGTGGTAGTGGGGTAGATGTGGGAAGAGAAAGAAATGTCATATTGCTCAGTTGTGTGGCCCCTTCAGCAAGGAAGAAAGTGGTAAACAGAGTCAGGAGGCAGATGATTCCAGGACAGGCAGTGCGGTAAAAGCAACAGACAGACAAGATGGTCATGGGGTCTATGGAATACATTCATTCCTAAGTTAGTACAATTGTCGAAGTAAGACAAAAGGTGCTGGTCTAACAGACTGAAACATTAGTCTGCTGAGCAACACGCCCAAGTCTCCACAGAGTAGCATATTTTTATTGCAGTATGACTTTCTTGGGAAATGAACAAAACTTTAAATAAATCACAATTACTTATTGCTTAGTATTTTGGATAATAAATTCTTTAGTTTATCAGTACCTCACGGCCTTCAAATGTGCATTCTTCAAATATTTTCAATTACATATACATTCTTTCTCCTGAACAATAAATTATTCTTTTTTTTTTAAAAAAAGGAAAAAGTACATAATTTTAAAGCAAAGAAAAACAAAAAAAAACATATATATTGACATTTATCTTAAACTTATATGAAAACAATTCTCTATGTTAGATGCTTAAATATAAATAATAAAGGACATTATGTTATTTACAATGTTACACAGTAAGTTGAGAGAGTAAAAACTGACATTAACTCATAAAGACAATAAATGATTTAATAAAACATCCAAGTAATGTACATATGTATTTACAAGTGAACGTATAATAGAAATTGTGATATGTGACCATTTCCTTTTTGTCTGCAATTCTCTGCAATGTTTCATGGATCTTTGTGGATAGAAAACTCTGTGGCTTTTGGAATGCAGCCAGTACTAAAAGATAAGACCATGCCTTCCTAATTTTCACCAATGTGAGCCATATACCTTTCAACCTCAGACCAAAAAAAAAAAAAAAAGAAAGAAAGAAAGAAAAAGAAAAGAAAGAAAGAAATTGCTACTGAGCAAGTTACCCAGGATCAACTCCACCTCTATCAAGATAGTCACACTGAAAAAATAAAGAGATGGTATATTGCTGTTTGAGACACAGTCACCCACATAGAGTACCATTTTGTAGAAAGCAGAAGGCTGTCTACCAGGTATTCTTTGGGAGAAAAAAAGAAGGGGGGAGAGGTGGGGGAGAGGGAGAGGGAGGGGGAGTGAGAGAGGAAGAGGGGGAGGAAGGGAAGGGAAAGAAAAGAAGAGAAAACAGTACAGAAAATGAATCTTGAGTGAAAAAAAAAAAAGGAGTTTTGTATATACTATATTCCACTGCATACCCCTCGGTGGGATATGATTCCAGACCCAGGAAAGAAAGTTAATGTCAAACTTCTGGGCCATTTCCACTACTTTAAACCCAAGACAGCTTTCCACATTCTGGGAATATAGGTTTCCACTCCTTTGGACTGCCACTGAACTGCCTGAATTTATAAATAGGGATGGTTGAGAGTGATGTGGCACTCAAGTATCAGAAATGTCCCTGTGAACATAAATTGGGTGGTTGTAGCAGGTAGCCCTGAGTGGTCAACTGGCCTTTCTTATTATGGAATACTCTTGTTCCCTGGAGCAAAGGTGGTCTCACCTCACATGAGCCATATCTCTGTGAGTAACAAAATCAGATTGGAAATGAAATTTCATGTACATTTACAGTTTCCAAATTTGTAGAAATTTTCAAACTGAAGAAATGTGTTATTCATTGTTCTCATCAGAAGATTCTATTTGTTCTTGAAATTTCTCACAATGGGACCTCTGAACTCCCTAGTGACCAAAAAATTGGAAACAGAATATGTAAGGTTTCTAAATAACAGTAGGAATTTCTTTATTGAAATGTTGAGGAGTGAGTCAAAGCCTTCAAAGGCAATGTTAAAAGAGTTTAGACAACCTCTTGAAACTGGGCTTTATCCCCATGCCACGATCTAACTCATTTTAGCAAACTGGGAGATGAGTATGACCTAACAAGGGCTCTCCCATGTAGGTTAAAAAGCAAATGGGCACAATGTTGAGCACAGAGAAAGTGGCATGTGAACAACGGCAGGAAAATTGGAATACCAAATACTAAGTCTAACTTCAAGGACCTGCAGACAAGCACCTCTGTGGATTGTAGAAACACATAGGAGTCTAACGACACTGACTCATGCCTAGCCTACATTTTTCTTCTAAGACCTACTTGCATGTCATTTCTTCCCTTTATTTGTAACATACATAAAGAAGAAGATTCAGTACATCTGCAAAGAAGAAGTTGAGTACTCTCATGGACTTTGTGAACCCCCTGTTAAAACTATTTCCCATTTTTTCCCATGACTCCTAGGAGGCCACTTGGAACCTAAGTAAAGCTCCAGCCCTGATTTGACAGATACCAGGCCGGGCATACAGTGGGTTGGGCATTTTAAAAAAATTTTTTTCCTTATTTCCTGAATTAACAGTTATTTCAAATGTTAATACCTATAGGCTTTCATTTACAATCACGAGAGAACACGCAAGGTTTAGAACAACCTTAGTCCTGCTTTTGTGACAGTAAAACAAAAATTAAGAGGGGGGAAAGGGTGGCAGAGAATGTAAATAGAGAGGTCAGTACACAGTGGGGGATCACTTCTTCAAGTAAAGGTGCAATCTTTTCAACACTATTGACACTTCCTGATGAGTCAGCATTTGTGGAAGAGTCTTACTAATCACAAAACATGCACATTGGCCATTCCTGACAAAAAAATATGTTCATGCATAGTTATGATCTAATCAAGGCGGCCTTGAAAAACAAGAGAGACAGAATGGGAGAAAGAAGTGATCAATCAAATTTAAAATGTCAACCAAGTCACATGGCTGCTCCACCTGGGTCTTCTATACATTAATTCCTTGCAAACACTATGATGGAAACATTTTTTCCTATGATGACAAGCCTGCATTTTACAGAGGCACATTTCACTCTCGAAGCATGTCAGACACACTGCTGAGTATGCTGTTGGGGCTGGGCTTTTTGTACCATGACACAGCCATGCTCCCAAATCAGTGAAAAAATACAATTCAGAAATGATTGCACCTTTATTGGTTGTGGTTTGTTGCTCAAATAGATGAGCGCTGGAACATTCCCCCAGAGAGAAAGTAAAACAAAGTCCTCTTCTAAGGTGTTATATTTATCCTGATAGCAAGCCAGAACCCATTCTCTAAGCTATGCCTAAAACTCTTGCTTTTTGTCCAGAAAAATAAATTAAAATAAAGGAAATGGCAGCTCCTTTTAGCAAGAGCAAGCTGTCTTCTGAATAGTAATATAGTTTTTTTTTAAATCACAGTATTACTTTCTTCCTAATATTTAACATTACTTAATGCAGTTTCCTGCTGTATTTAATAGTAGCATGCTGTTGGATCTACTATTATCTCAGAGCCCAATGAAGCAAACCTTTGGCTGACAGAGTAGAGGAACTCATTTCATATTCTGAAAGCAAAGAAAACTTCATACAAAAGAGAAGAATATTTGAATGGATGTGCCATTACAAGACATACTGATTGGGTGGTTACTACAAGCAAACAGAGGGACAGTTGCAAGTCTTGAAAATCATACATCCAGTCAACATCATAATGCAATGCACAAGAAGCCAGCAAAAACTGAATATGTGGAAGGGTTTTGCTGAAATACTGTGGAAAAGCAATCACTGTAACTGTACAAAACTTGCTCTCGACATAACATAACATAAAGGCACCATTGATATCTTTCTCATTTTGAAATACTGTAAAAAATTGCTACATATGGCACATAACACATTTTKACATACATATATTTAATTTATAAAAGTTTTTTTTTCCTGTTTTCTATTTGCAGAACTGCTAAAATAAAATAAATTGTTTAATTTAAGGTGGAATACTTTATTATATAAAATAAAGTTTTACAGGTGAATCTATGTGTATATTTAGGTTTTATACAGCAATAGGGTCTTGGTTAGCAATTACACTAGACAGCCTGGCCTGTAATTCTTCCTGCGTCGAGAAGCGGCCTGCTGGGTTAGTCCTACTGTCAGCCAGGCGGAAGGCAGGTGCTGCCTCAAGACTGGCTGCCAGGGGGTTCTGTATGCCCAGGAAAGGTGTATCTTCACCTACTCTTTCATCTTCTGTTTCACTCTCTGAGTTACTGTTCTCAGAGCTTGTGTTGCTGTCCATTTCCAACCTGTTGGCAATGTGGCCATTGGGCTTGGTTCTTTTGGCCCGCCGGCTATTGGCGAGTTTCTTAACAGGCTCTTGAGCTGGCTCATACTCCTGGGTCGTTTCATACTCCTCGTCCTCCACTATCCTCAAGGGGCTTGGGGGGAGGCTGTTACTCTCATGCGCAGGGTTGTGATGAAAGGTGTTGAACTGCTGAGCGTGGTGTTCATACTTCTTCTCCCGCAGCCTGGGTGGAGTCACAAGAAGCAGAGGTCTCTCTTCTTCCACGAAGGGGCTGACTGCCATGGAGGGCATGGACACCGTCATGCTGGAGGCGGGTGGTGACATTTCCRAAGGGGGCGATTTGGGGGAGCTTGGCGTGTGGAAATCTACAGGTGACATACGAGCCGGGGTGGTCATGGCTGATACATACCTGTGTGAGCACAGAATACCCCACATCAGTGTGGTGGAATAAGAGGCACAGAGCAGGGAGGGCAAGGGGGCAGAGTTCACGATAGGATCTCATCAGAGAACAATATCATTGGCATACTTCTCAATTTTTAAACTAGGAAATTCAGCACCCTTGGAATAAAAAAAATTATGTAGCCAAGAGTTTCCTCACAGGAAGACATGCAAAGATCAGCTAAATTGTCTAGCTCATCAAAGCTTTGGGGATTTTCAGTCTCATCATGAGTTTAAACAAAAGCATGTGAAGCCAAGAAAAGAGAACACAAGGTCCTAGAAATTACTCAGTTTATAAGGACCCAGGCTCAGGGATTTGGAAGGGAAAGAAGTATTACTTAAATACTATACCTTCCTAAATGCCAAGGGGGTCTTAGAGAATGAAGCCCAAATGGGGAATGGAAGAAGATCTAAGATGAGTTGCTGATAGCTGGATCTGCATGCATTTGGATCTGTGTGCCTTGTTTCTCCTTAGCTCAGCTATAAGGTTATGTCTTATGAAAAAAAAAGAGCATAGTAACTTAGATTTATTCCTGACAACAGTGTCATACATTTGTGTGCTTTCAACTTTTTTTTTTCCATGAAATGCTATTAGTTAACATTCAGTTTGCAACTACCCATCCCAGGGTCCATGACATTCAAAGGTAAGCCTGAAAGAACCTTACATTGGTTTCACAGTTACCACAGTGGAGACTCTGTCTGGTCTCCAGACTACATCTCTTGCCAACCCTCCACTGCATCAGTCTTTGGCTTCCTAAGAGGAGGACATGAAAAGTTGCCTGGCCATCTTTTGTGACTGTTCAAGGGATGGCTGGACTATGTTACCTGTCATCACGCCACATCTGACAGCAGTGTATCTCAGTGCCAGGCCCCCGAGTGCACTGTTTTTACCATACCACACTTTCTTCCCCCAGAATAAGCAGACCTGATTTTCAGCACTGAGGGGGAATGAGTCACATTTCTCAGCTTTTGATAAAAATGTTACCAATGCATAGCACTATAAATGAATCTTTTCTTCACCTTGACAGTCACGGAGTCTAATTCATCATGACCTGTGATGACACAGGACACCACTTTCTGAACTCCAGCTAACAGGAACAGAAAACCTATTAACTTCCCTGCTTTTCCATGATTCATAGTGATATGGATGTGAGATCCAGCTGTGTCTAAAATGGGAAAGTGTCTTGGAGATTGAAATATTTGGGACTCAAGTCTTCAGACTTTATTCTGGGGGTACTGAAATTAAGCTCCTTGAGAAATGATAATCCAAATTCAACCAACATGTACAAGTAATTCATTTTTATCTCCCTGTGGTCTTTAAGTTCAGGGCTATTTTGCAGCCTTCGATGGTATCTGGGATATGCATGTCAGCCTTCAAAGATCAACATCACAGAAAGCACTCATCCCAACCTCCTTTTCATGTTCCAAAGGAGACTGAATTAAGATGGACAGATTTCCTTAACACATAGGTAGAATTACATGAATTTAAGACTAATGTTTTAAGCCAGTTTGGGACCCTGTTTTTTTTTTTTTTTTTTACAAATGGTTTGCAAGGAGAATTTGAATTGGATAAATTCCATACAGTTCTGAAAGACATTTTTGAGGAAGGGTAGTAAAGAAGTCATCCGTTAGCTCTATATGAATTACAAGCTAAATAGGTCATCTTTATTGTACTTCCCAGTCCAGAATACAAATAATCTTTCAAAACCATCTCCACCCATGTAACGACCCAATAAATATGGATTTGGCAATATGTAAGACTTTTTTAAAAATAAATGGTCAGGGATTAGAATGAGATGACCATAATAGAAAATAAAACCCTGTGGACTGGAAAACACACAGGTAGCAGCTTATTCGTGGGCTAAAAACCAATTGGGAATTTCTCTCTTCCAGCTTGGGGGAAAATGAATAAAGTGTAGGTATGAATTCACTATTCCTATTGAACATCTCCTTCAGTTGACTTTCTTCCATTCTTTATTTTATTTTTGCTTTTACTCCCCCAGCCCTTCTCAATCTCCCCAGAACAAGGATCAAACATTCTGGAATAAAGGGCCATAAAGAAGGCAACAACATCTTCTTTGAAAACCACCCGTGAAGACCGCCAGACACAGCATAAAAGAGATTTACTTATTCATTCCTTCTTGGAACTTTATAAAAGGGATACTATTTAGTGGAACACAAGCAGCTGTTCCCCCATGACTGTCAGCAAAGACAAACTTAACTGAGGCTGGAAAGTAAGACAGAGTTAGCACATGAGAACATGAGACCAGCTGGACCACCAATTTAAGAGTTTGGGTAACTGGCAAATTGGAATTAAAGGGTCCTCATCAGACATTGATGCCATCTCTCTAATGTTATGGCTGAGGAACCTAGACCCAGAATGGGTCTGAGACTATGGCCAGTTCTGGGAACTCCAAGTCTGCTGCACCTTCCACATCAAATCACTCCAGCTCTTTAAGAGTCTGTGGCCTGCCAGGCACTGGGACGATCAGAGAAGCTCAGAAGAAATAAGTTCCATCAAAAAGATGACTTCAACTAGGTGCACTCCTAGAAATGGGAACGGCCGCCCTTATTCTGATAAGGCAGCTCTCCTTGGGTGAGACGCAGGTGCTCACGGGATTCTTTAACTGAGGTTCTCCTGGGCAGTAGCTTTGCCCCTCGCTTTCTTTTACCTTTCGCTATGAGGAGAGTCTCGGTAGGAGTCAGGGGTTTCTCTGGCATGCCTGAGGAAGCTGTTACACTCGCGAGGGCCTCCTATGCCATTAAGACGTCCTCTTGGGCCCCCAGTTGGGCTGCTGTGCCTACTGTTTTCTACTGATGACGTCATGATTACAGAATGGCTTTCCGACAGGATGCTTTCTGTGTGCCCGTTGCTCCAGCTAGAAGGGAAACGTGAGAGGAAGTGAGTTTTGTTTGGTTTTATGACATGCAGAAATGGAAATGAAAGGAAGTCATTCTGACAGATATTTCCAATGAATGATACCTGAGAAGCTCTCTACCGCAGTAATTGTGTAAGAAAAGAATTGATGCAAAGAAACTTGCTATAGAGAGAGATCTGTGAACCAGTTTATTAATTCGTTCACTCATTCAATCAATATTAATCAAATGCCACTATGTGTTAAATGTTCTTAGTCCTTGTGTTCTTGAATCCTTTAGGTCAGGGAAATGTCTGGTTGTACCAGTTCCATTTGGAAGTGCAGTGTTATTCTTGGTAGCCTGCAATCAGTTTGAGATCACCAGGGCATTTGAGAATTTAGGGTTCACCAATCTTCATGTACCTTTTCCAAGGCAATCCAAGTATTATATAAAATCCAGTTTCTAGGTATTATATAGAAACCTAGAATTTTCTCTGTGTAGCAATTCAGTGAGTAGCAGCACGTGAGAGATGACAATCTCTAGAATGGGGAAGAACAACCCTATAAAGTAGATGTTATTATCCACCACCATTTTTGTTGGTGGTGGTATCAGGGATTGAACTCAGAGGCACTCAACCACTGAGCTACCTCCCCAGCCATTTTCTGTATTTTATTGAGAGACAGAGTCTCACTGAGTTGCTTAGGGCCTCACTTAATTGCTGAGGTTGGCTTTGAATTTGTGATCCTCCTGCCTCAGCTTCCGGGGGCACTGGGATTACACGCGTGTGTCACCATGCCTGGCTACCATCATTTTTTTTTTTTTTTTGATAACGGAAAACCTGAGACTCAGATTTACACAGCTATTAAGAGTAGAGTCAACCAATGTCCAAAGTCTGTTTATGTCCAAGGTCTGTATATTGTACTGCCTCCCAAGTGTCTCCTTTCTTAATGCAATGATAGTAAAAGCTCACGTGCAAAGATTCATTCTTAGAGAACTACTGTGGAATTTTTACATTTTCATACCTGTGACTAGGAGTCTGGGTGACAGTTGTGGAGTGATGAGCCGTCGAGGTATAATGACTAGTGGAAAAAGACGTCTCAGCTTCTCTCTCAACAATATGCTCGCTAGATATGACGTTTTTAGATACGTATTGCTGGGTAGACACAGAGACACAACTTGAAGATGCATGTAAATCAAAATACTAAAATTGTTACACACACACATCTGTTTTTGTACACAAGCTTCATAATAACTTTCATTTCTCCAGTGCTGTATGGCAAATCCTCTCGGCTACTTTGGATTTTAGATTGGATGAAAAAATGGAATTAATTACTCTCTGGATGCACACACAATGTAGGTCCTAAAATCACGACTAACTTCATTTTCTCAGAAAAAGACCTTTCTTCTCTCTCAGTTCCAGTTAATTACATGACTAGAATTCAAAACAAATTCTGATACTCATTTTTGTCAGGATTGTTGCAAGTCAAAGAAGATTAGCAGATATTTTTGATTAAAAGAAAAGCATACCTTATCTTACTTCAAATTTCAAGTCATTTGAAAAAAAATTAATTTCAATATTAAAATTTTTAACTTGTCAATGGTAACATTAACAAGGGTATTACAAAATTTGAAGGGCTTACAATAGTTGTCAAGGTGACACATCTATGAATACCTAGTATACAGAGGGCCTTACATTTAGTGCAGCTACATTTTATTTCATTTTCATCAGCAAACCACAGTAGCTATTGCTGCCCTCTATCAGTGAGAAGATGTATTTTAAAAGTTGTTTTGAAGTTGTATTTTAAGTGCTATTAGTATTTCTAACAAATTGAATTAAATAACAGGAAAAGAAATGGAACGGACTATTTGTTGATAAACAGGGCACTTTATATTCTGATGAGCTATGAAGACTAAAGAACCTGATCTCTTTGTGATAGCCCAAAAATATACAACTTGGATTATGCAAGAAACTCCAGCTGGTTCTGTTCATGGAAAGACTATTCCATAGGGATCTTCCTGGGAATTATAGCTGGTTAGGTATATATAAGGAAAAGATACAGAGTGACTTATCTCTGGTCCATGCACATTCTGCTCTTGCTTCTTGAGGGGTGACATAAGCTTAATGAATCTAAGTGCCACTAGGCTATTTCATGTAAGTTATTTTATCTACTACTCACAAGAAGTCTTTGAAGCATTTATTATTTTTAGGCTTGTTTTCATAATAAATAAGATTGAGAAAAGGTTATAGTCTAAGGTCACACCATTTAGAGCCATAATAGAATCCAGGCACTCATAGCAATAAGACTCTGATATATTATAACATATATAATAACAGATCATAGTGATGTTGGTAGAGAATGCACTTATTAGCTCTGCAGAACACTTTGATGAACAAGAAAGGTTATTAACCTATCAGCACCTTGCCCCAATAATGTTTGTAGATCTCTGCTATAAGATGTGGGGTAATCTAGAAACCACTATCTCCAGACATGGGTCTATAACATTTCTGCTCTACTAAGTATACACCTTTTTTCCCAACAGGATAGAAAAATGATTACTATGATACAATCTTTGGGAATTGATCTACTAAAAGGCCATATAACAGAGGGAAATAAAAAAATGAAACAAGAAGTATTTTTCTGGAATATAAAGAGTAACACTTCAAAAGCCAGGAGATCTATTCTTGTCTATAAAAACAGAGAGGTTTGGAAGATGATGATATATAGGCTCCAGAATTGAAAATACTATCATCTAGTTGGATTTAAAGGCCAAGTTCTTGGTAAAGTATAAACAAAATATTTGAATGCTTAAGGAGGCATTTCATCTGGAGTGCTTGGTATCACATAGAACGCAGCCAGGGAGTAGCAAGCATTACATTCTCCCAATTTTTCTACTGCGAAGAAGCATGTTTGATAAGTCACTTGACCTTTCCATGCCCTGATTTCTTCTTTTGGAAATCAGAATCAGTAAATCATCCATTACTGTAAAGTGCCCCTACTAAATATCACTCCAAATCCTTGGCTCAGTTATCTGTACTAATCAGTTATAGACTAGAAGAGTCTTCATTTTCAAATTATTAAAAAAATACAAATTCCTTCTGATTCTGGTTTTATTAATTTTATTACATTGTTTTTGTTTTCTTCCTCCTGTTCCAGCCTCTCTGCAGAACAAACCCAACATTATGATTCCAACTCCTTAATGAACACTTTATAAGAGGAAATGTGCCGGTTTTACAGAAACCAAATCCACTTTAAAAAATGTTCCCATTATTTTCTCCTGGTGAAATCTTGGTTTCCTGGAAGCCATGGTGATTAATGGCAGCAGCTAAGAGCCTAAGAGCTTTAGAAAATAAACTTCAAGGTGCCAGTACAAAAGGGACATGCGTAGTTTGTCTCACTGGCCAGTCAACATACATTCACCAGCTGCACGTTCTCCGGGGGTGGATTAGGATGGTGAGGCCCATTGGCTATGTTCACCATGTTGTTCCTTTCAGAACGAAGACTCTGTCGAAGCCGGTCATGAAGCTTTTTCCGCTGTTTCCTAGATGTAAAAAAAGGAAGCATAATTTTTTTCCTATTATTTATATTTCTTAGTRCAGCCAAATCTTTATTCTACCAACACCTAAGAATAATTCAAGGCAGTGGCTTGGTGGTGAGGAGGAGGACAGGACTATATGCCATTCCATCTCAGAATAAGTAGACTTATACATCCTCAGCAATTGGGCTTGAAAAGCTGTGTGGGATTCTTACAGAAACTTAACTGTTTCACTGAAGAAAAAGAAAGAAGGAGGAGAAAACAAATAAAATCCCAACTTTCTTAATCAACCCATCTTCCCCTAAATCTTACAGATCGTCATTGGTCCTAGATAACAATCTGTGCTGTAGAAATGATGACTGATTCTATTTGTAGTTTTTTCCCCTGTGGATTCTTTCAGAAAACATACTTAGTTTTGAATCTGTACATTATACACAGTGTGTGTATGTGTGTGGGCCCATATAGTGAGATTGGACATATTTTTCCATTAGGTTTCGGCACAATTATAATGTGGTCTTACCCCTGTAATGCTTTTTGTGTAAAGGTAGTGAATATTAAGACTGAATCTAATAAGTCGTATGAGGTCAATTCCATGAAGGCTTCTCTCTCTCACCTACTCAATTCTGGCAGCATGCTAAATCATGGGGTATTAAGAAAATACAATCCATGCCCTTAATTTTGTGGTACAAAAGCATATTATTTTTTTCCTCAATGCAATATTCAGATCATGAAAATATCTCCATGACTAGTTTTGGCAAGAGTATATCATGTTATGAGGAAATGTTTTGTTTTTAATTCCTGTTAATTTAACATTATTTTAGACTTAAAGACAGAAAAATGAAGGGCAAACAATAAATACATTTGTCAAGATGGGCCAAGTTTTTAGGGTCAACCAGTGGCCACAAATCTATTTTAAAGCTTTCCCTGTAGTTCTTTCTAAAGAAACTTTGCTTATTTTACTCTCAGGAGATTCCTTTTGTATACCTCACTCATCCTTTGACAGCATTTACACTGGCAACCCAAGTAAGTAGAACTGAAACATTTTTCACTCTTTTAGAAAACTACATTTAAAATACCACTGAGTGTTTCTTTTATCTCCCAAGTTTGTATAAACTGGATTTGTCCTCAGCAATGATGTGCCAAGTGCATCTCTGGCACCTATATTTCCCTTTTAGTACATGATCCCTGTGTGCACATATTTGCATGCACAACTACATACATGCATTCTTGTGCTTCTGTACAAGCTTGTCCTTCCAAATGTTCATCCATTCATATGGCCATGGTCACATGTTAGAAATTTCCTAAGCGCTTTCACAGAAAATGCAAAGCTTTCCAATGTGTGTGATTAGGAAAGGTCCTCAAAGTGCATTATTAAAGGGAAAAATAAGGGGGAAAGTGCTTCATCCCTCTTTCCCCCAGGATTAGGATGCGAAGCATGGTGTCTACAAAGCCCTGGCCACCTAAGCCATCTGTGCACTAAGGAGAGAGAAAGGTGTGGAGGATGAAGTTTACTTGGTTTTGCAGTAGGCCACCACACACATGATGCCGACCACCAGCAGGGCGATGCAGATGCCGCTTATGGTCAGCACTCTCTTCTGGTAGAGCTCCTCCGCTTCTGGAAAGGGGTGAGAGCAGATGTCATTAAGGTCACYTATAATTGCCAGGATTTACTACCACTGAACAGCTGGCATGCTGCATGACATTGTCCGTGTTCACAAGAAAGTAAATACAATTCCTTGCATTACAGACATAATCTAAGAAACAACATGCTCTGTGCTACACTTTGAGCATCAATAACAAAGCCAGCGGAGTCCACTGACAATAAAATAATATACTCTAAAAATTATACCAATAACAAGCTATATATATATACATATACATATATATACATATATCTTTATAATATAAAACTGGAAAATTATAAACGTTAATTATAACATAGCAATTTGGTTAAAACATGGTAGATATTTTAAAATCTTTTGCAAAAATTAAAAAAAAAAACTCTTGCAAAGACAACAGGAATAAACACCATTAAAAGGAGCTAAGATTGGCAGCTCTGATACTCTCCTTTTCACCTTCCTCCCTTCTCCACCCTCACCTCTAACCCAGCTATTTATGTCATCATTCATATCCAGTGGTCTTTACAAAGAGTCATTTCTAATTTAAAAAATTAAATTAAAAGACATTTGCAAACATGAACTTGGCTTGTAGTTAGCAAGTACATTAATGTAAGATTGCTTTGATTTAATAGTAAAATGTAAAAATATAGTTAGCATAATATGGAGTAGCACTGTATCCAAGTATTAGTCACTGTATCCAAGAAAATCTAATATGATGGGTAAGGTAGTCCTGGAGCAAAATTAAGCTTTGTTCTTTGGAGGACAATGCCTGTCACTTCATAAGTTGAAATTAGAGAACTGGTTTATTTGTCCAAAGAAACCAGTCACTAGCACAAATGATGTATCATTTGGAATAGAGTATTTCTTCCTACATTGGCCAACTTGGCAAATTAGTTAATAGATATTCTACTAAGGAAGTCTGATGCTTAGAACTTTGAACTAACGGTACTACTTTACTCTATGTGCAATTATTCTCTAATTCATGGAAATTTTTCTATTTGCAAATTAGTTTCTTTGGGGGATAACTTGATTATACTAAGGTAGGTCAGGTTCTTAACAAGATTTGCTGACTTAATGGGGACCTTGGTCCCTTAGGAGCTGAGCTTTCAACAGTCTAATTACATTTATTGGAAGATCTTCACAAGTTCACTCAGAAAGAGAACTCAGCCAGTACATAGTAAGTAACTCTTTACTTGCCATGATAGTTATTAAGCTGGTCAAGAACTGGAGGATATTGTACAGATGACACTGGCTTATCAGGACATCAGCAAGGGACCCTYAAAGAATATTTCCATCGTACATTCTCAGTCTCAGCAACAATAACTTTTAGTCTTTGGAGAGAGGGCAACTCACAGGAAGTTTTCTTGAGATGAAAAAGTGAATTTTAATTTCTAGGACACAGTGGACCTTATCATTAAACAAAACATTTCCTACAAGCCGAGCCCATGATAATCAAATTCCAGTTAACAGGTCAAGAACATTGTCAAATCAAATTAATAGAGCACTGATTATTAACAGGAGGAGAAGGAGAATAGAAGTCAGTGGGTAAAAGAGTAGAATGCTGCATAGATTATACAAAAACAAACTGAAGGGGTTGGAAGTAGAAAGGAAAAACAAACCAAGAGGACAGACAGGCTGACAGAATGACAGAGAGAGCGAGGAAGTCAAGTACGAGGGAAAACAAGGTTAAAAGTTAGGGAGCCTTCTGAAGTCCCTGGCACAGCATGCCTGATACTAAGGGAGGAACAATAAATAAATAAAAGAAAACCAGAAGGAGGAGATGCTTGGGTGGAAGAAAAGGTGGATGCAAAGTTGGAAGGGTTATCCCATACAGCATAACTCCTACCCTAGGCTAGCAGTTGTGTGCAAGCCACAATTAGAAAGCCAAGCAGCTGGTGCGTTGCGATGCAACACTGCAACGGGAGACATAGAGTTGGTGTCATGGATTTTTGAGCCGCAAAAGTCAAACGAGGACATGGAATGTGAGTGCTTATATGTTAATTGCTTGTGTCTGTTGCCTCCTCTCCCTTCATARCCACAGGACAGGTAATTAATTTTTATGAGTTTTTGACTGTGAGCTGAGGCTGCTATAACCTCCCTTCCTGACCCTGGCATCCCAATCAGTTTTTAGCACATATATGTAAGAAGCAGAGGTATCACCCCACTGTTCCTTCTCCATGGGGCCCAGGATACAGAACAGGGATCCTTCATCTGTGATGAATTGGTTAAGGAATATGAATGTCACTATTGCCACCGGGAAGGGTGGAGCCCTGAGTTTTCCTCTTTGGTTCACTCTTTAAAAAAAAAAAAAAAAAAATATATATATATATATATATATATATATATATATATATATTAAAATGGTAAGGCTGGGGTGAGGATGCAGCTTAGTGGTAGAATCTGCCAAGCATGGGTTCCATACCCAGCTCCACCAACAAAACAAAACAAAAGGCAAGACCTTAGTTGCACCTGATCACTAGTAACCTGACATTCTACCTTTAGAAAAAGCTGAGAAACTGCTTCTACAAACCTCAAAAATGGAGACATACATGAGGGCTGGACAGGGGAAAAATGATATTGTGCACTCTCAGGTGTTCCTTTTGATAAACTTTCATTGGGTTGTTGCTATGAAATAGATTGAGTTGGATCTGTGAACAATGGCACAGAATGACTGGCCCCTTCTTCCTGTGGTACATAGGAAGATGGTTTCCAGTTGAATGATTATTTCATGGGAATAAAAAGCTCAATAAAGGACAAAGGATAATATAAGAGTACTAAAATGAACTAATTAAAGGCAAAGCCTACAGAATACAGACCTGGGATTAAAACTCCATATGCACATCAGCATTTAACTAAATGCACTACAAACATTTCTATATGACTTTTTTTTAAAAATGATTTTGCCAGATCATGTAATCTCTACAATAGTAATATGCTGAGGGAAAAACACTTAGAAAACCATAGCAGAAGGACTAGGTTCCTTTATCCCCCTTTGCTTCATAGTTTATTCTTTAGGTGGCAGGGCCCAGAGGGCAAGAGCAAATCAGAACTCTGCTGAAAAACAAGAATCTGTCAGTCCAATTGGGGGATCAGTCTTCCTGTATGGAAATTCTCCTGGGTTGCAATGCTGGATGCATTGTATGAATCAGAGCAAGCACATTTTTCAGTCTGATGTGCCCAGCCCAAGGACAGAGCCCTAGTACTTCTCAGTTTGAATTGACCTTTAAGATCAAATTTTCTTGAAGGATGCCATGGCCTTGACTAGTATGCTCTGAGGGCTTTGGAAAGTGAGTCTTACAGGTATGTAGATGCCAGCACATAGTCTTCACTGACCCTTGAAAGATCTTACTGAAGTAACTGGATATCTCAACTATTTGACTTCGTTATTTTGAAATACAAATATTGAATTCTATAGTCAGAGCCAAAATTTATAAAGGAGGAGGGAGCTATCCTATGAGTGACAAGGGGTAGGGGGAGTGGCAGGATCTTTTTCCTCCCTGCAGAAACACTGTTGGGGAGGAATCCCCAACAGTGATACTACCGCTCGCTCCCTCTTGGGCTCCCTAGTCTTGGGAGACGCTTCTTGATGCCCAAAGGCTTATTCATATAAATATGGGCTTTCAGCAAAGTCATAGTTTTCTTCTGGATTTTTTTTKGGGGGGGGCTGAGGGTGTGGGAAGTTCATTGAGTTGCTATCCCTGTAACTTCTAGAGCTTGCAACTGCCTCATTTGCCACAAGATAAGAAAGTACATTAGGGGTGGACAGTTGTTGACATCCAAAAAGGCTGTAGGGCACCCCTGCTGCATGATGTCACTGAAACCCGCTCCATAGGAATTAGATACTGTCCTGTTAAGCAGGACATTCTGCTGTTGAGCCCAGCCCCTGTTCCAGGGCTGCATGCAGCATTCCAGCGAGACAGCCTGACCTGGCACTGTGAAGACCAGGCAAAGGAGCACAGCTTCCTGTTCCTTGCAGGACTGGCTTTTTCGCCCCACTATTTAGTCTGAAGGCCTTCGGGAGTATGCCCAAGTCTCATCTGCTCATAAGAGAGATTTTTTATGTTCACAGTGTGAAATTTTCTATTTGATTACTTGTCTGGATCATCTTAGTGACTCAAATTTAATTCCATTAGCACTGGAATTTCCACCTAAAATAGCACAAGGCTTCTTTCTTTCTGTTTTCTATTTCCTTGCTCATTAGATAATGAAGTTGACTAGAGTCAAACTTGAATATCTCCAGAAAACTTGAGTGATTCAAGTCTGTGCACGTAATACTGTGTTGCACTGTAAGGGCTTTTTCCTTACTATATTAAATAGATGGTTTTATATTGTATCTTAAGTGCCCATCAGTTAAGAGGTACTGTGTTTTTTAAGCAGGTACCATTTAAAGCTTCCTTTGTTCTCATGCCCCTAGTTTGACTTCTCCTCTACCCTTGTGCACCACTCTAACTTACCCCAGTTTTTTTTTTTTTTAAAAAAAAAAAGGATAGCCAAATCCAATCAATGGGTCGGTCACACAATGTGGGATGTACATGAATGTAGCAGCAGGGACAGGTGGTTTTAAACTATAACTGAAGKAAAGTAGCTTGAGACTTTAAACACTGCTGCATTCAGTAACATTTCAATAAACTAATCATAGATTGATAGCAGAGAAATCATTGTTATAGCTGTATGATCCCTTCTAAAGAAAAAGGAAATTAGTTAGGAACTGAAAAGTAAGAGTAGGAAGGGAAAAAAGATTTCAGCTCATAGGCTCTAAAATTCTGCAGGCTAAAAGGAATGATGATTGGTCCATACCCATAAATTCAATCCCAAGATGCTCTGCCAATGCAGAAAGTTGACAAAAAAAGAAAGAAAGGGAAAAAGTTTCAGAAAGAGCAATACACTGCACTCCAAAACACATTACACATGACTATTATAGCTCTTTGTGCGTGCACATTGAACAGGACAAATGGGTGRTTAACAAAGCAGTGCTCAGGTATGCCACTCAGTCCAC